TTTTTTTTTTTTTTTTTTTTTTTTTGTACATGCTGTTGCTAAGCTGAAGACAGTACTCAATATTGCATTCACGGTTAATCGTAGTACTCCTATAAGTTATCAGAGTTTGAGAATGCCTTTGTCGTCACATTTCTACATGAGATGTCATCAAAAATATAAAAAAAATCTTAGGTTTATGGACATTAGGTACTAAGAAGATGCTGAGTTGTTGCAACATAAAAAATTCTTCTTTTCTTGAATGAAGATTTTAAAATGTTGTTGCTATATTGTATTTAACTTATATGACTATGTAAACATAGGATATGATACTTGCTAAGGTAAATACGTAATTGTGCGAAATTTAGGAAAGTGCTGTAGGGATAGCTACCAATTCTGCATAGGAGATTGGTTACAAAACCGAAATTTGAGACCGCTGAGATTACCAGTTTTTGTAATACCAAGTAAAAAAGCTCGCTAGATTTGGCAAAATTCGAAGATTTGGTTTCTGTATAATATCTTAGAAAACAGGAAAACGTTAACCAATTTGACTTAGTTAAGGTTCAGTTAGTGCCAGGCAAGGTTTGTCACTGGCTTTTTGCGAAAGCGGTACCTATAGAAGGCACATAGTGTGGCAATGTATTGTGGCCAGACTTTAAGCTCAGATTGTGGTAAAAATAACAAAGTGACTTCTCAATACTTTCGTCTCTTCTCTTATCTCTTCCACTTTACATTACTTTAGTCTTTGTTACTTTTTCTCTCTTTAGCGAGATATCCTTTAGAACAGCGCTTTGGTACCTCAGAACCAGTGAATTAAGTTACCATACTCTTTTAAATAAGTTTTCGTTAGAAAACAGCAAGAAGTTTGCGAATGCTGGTCTCTGAAATTAGTGAGAACACCAAATTTCCCATCATTTTTCCTTAGAAATGTTGACAGCTCCGCAGTGATAAAGAAGTGAATAAGCAAATGTATGGACTACAGACCGCAAAATTTTATTCGTTGTTTGAACAAGCAACTCGCTCCTAATATGATTGTTAAAATAATTTATTTTTTTTAAAATTTTTTTATTTATGATAATTTATGAGGTTTATTTTTCAGTTATTATAATGATAACCACTGGTACGACCAACCAGCCATAAAGAGTGGTAATGAAAGTAGGATAAAAGTACAGCATAAAATGAGAAATTAAACTATTTTACTTCCTAAATGATAAGAGTCATTCCGCGCTGAACTGCACGTTTCGAACAGTAATCTTGGGTGATTCTAAAACTGTAATAAGAAGAACATTTATGAACCCAGTTATGAAATCGAAGAGCGCTTTTACTAGATTAGTTCCTGCTGAATTTCAAAAATTTTCCTGGTTCTCACTTAATTTTGTTTGCCTTAATAGTTTATATTTTATGCTTAATAGATGTAGTTCAGCAGTTTTGAGCTTACGCGTGTAAAAAGCTAATTCTGTGAATTCAAAAAGTGTTCTCTTACGACTGTTTATCGCACGGAAGATTGGAGAACGGAAAGAACTACGTTTCCGAAGAGGGGCTGCTAAACTGGTGATATTTTAAGTTTTCGAAAAAAGCATTATGAAAAACTGTCTGCTTTGTAAAACAGCAGTACTTTTTAGAATAGGAAGCCAAAGTAGACTGTAATGTCTTTTAATAATAGCGAAATACAGCGAAATTTTAGTTTGCTTTATTTGTAAAATTTTTTCCTTTGTTGTTTTTGTTAAACATACTCAATTTTTGGCTTAAAGTGATGGAAGTCGATCCATCTCAAAAATACATTATATTGTTCGACTGCGACAGTATTCAAGTAGTTAAAGTTTTATTCCAAAACACTTACAACAAATTTTTATCTGTTTGTCGATTTCAGAAAGAAGTTATTCAACCTATTCAATTAAACTGCCAGTCACACATTATTTCTTTATATGCCGTTTCTTGCTCTCTGTTAAGCAATATTTTTTAAATCTTATCTGTCTTACTTCTTAAAATTTTCAAATTCTTGTCCAAAAATTCTGTATGAATTTGGAAGCGTTGAGAATTAAATTAATCTCTGGTGCAAAATCTATAAGACTTTCTACATTACATCTGCGCAGTAAGCTTATAACCGTAAGTATTTTATAATTCGGAATACATCTCGCAGTTCGTAGCAGTGTCTTCAGAAACTGAAAGTGAAAATTATACGATTAGAAAAATTTCAAAATTTCTGTTGAAAATGTTTTGAACCAGTCTTACATAACTTCTGTATTTTGATTATCAGTGCTTGAACAGAATCTACGCAGCATTTTTGCACGGAGCTTAATGACAGAGTCTGATCAGTCATTATTGTTTCCGTTCTGAATTTTTACGCAGACGCAGCTGTGCAGTAGCTGTTCTGCTAATATGTTGAAGTGTTCCAAATGTATTTTATTGACAAAAGTTTCCTTGCATCTTATAAAAAACACCACAAGGAGAATAGATTAAAAGTCGGAAATTTCCTATACCAAATTGCGTAAATATCTTAGTTAAGTTCTCCAACTTTTTCTAAACTAAAAACAGCATTAAGCCTTACGACAGGCAAAATAAGCTAACTTCAAGGAATGAAAAGATGAAAATTTTTTGCCATTTAATTGAAGAAAGTTTTGAAATTTTTACCAAGACCAAATCTCTCATTTCATAGGCACAAAGTGTAACTCAGAGTAACCCAACAAAAACTTTCTGAAAAATTTAGGTAACTGTTCGGCAAAATCTTCTTGGCACCGTTGTTTACATTTTATGTCCTCTTCAAAATAAAACACGAAGAGGGCGAGCAATTCTGATACATTTAGGTGCCACTTCTAAAGCATTTGCCGCAGCAGCATCTTTCACCTTTTCTTCCTTTTGAACAGATCTAGAAAGAAAGAAAACATTAAATTCTAAGAAAAGTAGTTTCTTCACAAAATATGAGAAGGAAGTAGTGCAGCTTCTTTTTTTAATAAATACTAGGCATGGCCACAGAACATAACTTGTCAAGTCTTTCTTCTTTTCCCTAAATTTGAAAATGCAGCATCACTGAAGATAAGTAAAATTCCTGAATCTTCATTATACATCTAGGTCAAAAAAAGTTTTTCTCATTTAAGAAATTGAAAAAGCAGCCCCTTTGTTATTACAAGAAAGTGATGTCAAATTACAGACGGTTTGAGAAACCTAACTCAGCTACTGAAATAAGGGCTTTCAGTGCTATAGCATTATTTCACGTTTAGTAGTATCACTTATTCATCAACTCTAAAATACTGTTTATCATACTGCGTTTAAACACGTTCTATTGGCAGCCTGAAACACCGACTACACCGACTACAAACACCGGCTCAGAAATGAAAGTTGCAGAACTAAGTTCTTTTCCACCTCTTTATTCAAAACATTAAATTTCTTGAGGTTCGCGAGACACAAACAGAAAAAAAATTTATATCATGAGAATTGAATTTTTTTGTGTTTGATGATAGTATACTGCATGCTGAAGCTTACATTACACCTCAATTTGCTACGATAATAACTCTAGGTCTAATGTAACTATGTATTTCAATAAGCTTATGTTATAAGACAAGTTTTCAACAGGTAATAAAACAAAACAAGAAAACTAGAGAAAATCTTAACGTGAAAATCCGGAAAAACAAAGCTCAAGTTATCCTTAACTTTCAAGGCGCTTTGCGTGCGTCCACTAGGGTTTCTGAATAACATAATTTTGATTTTTTATATGTGTTCTGCGAGTCATAGTATGTACTAAAATAGCAGATATCTTGTCGATCAGTTTAAGCTTGGTTTAGATGTGGAGCAAAGGGCTTTTATTTCTAAGCCAAAGATGAGTTCAGTGTTCAAGGCAGACAACAGGACGTGTTCGACATTTTCAATAACAAAGTTTAACCTTTTAGAATTGAATATTGAACCATTTGAGACAAATATCATTGGTTTTCTTCTTTTCCAAAGTATATAAAAAGGAAGACTTTTCTAAGTATTCATTTTTCGCAAAAGCCTGCCAATCGCAGCCAAAAAAAATGCCATTGCAATATACCATGAACTGTTTGAAGAGTAATTAACGGAACAGTATTTGTTGTCAGTAATCAACAATGGGTTTTAAATTTCAGAAGTCGAACTGTTCAATAAGCAGGCAAAGTGATACAATTAGAAAAAAATGGTTATAATAATTTTCTTAGAAAAATCCTCTTGAATTATTCGAAAAATAAAAATTTTTTAATCAGTTGCATTGTATTTACCTAGTAGAGCGAGGCATGTTTTAGTGCCTTGTACGTATTACTGCATTTAATAACAATTCACTTGAAACAGGATCTATTTCATTAACGGAGGCGATGAAATGCCGCGCGAACTAAACATGTTTTTGCAGCCTGACCTCAATGATTACACCTTAACTTGAGGTATCGAGAACATACTATTCTATACCTTTAATGCGCTAGATACGACAAAGAGTAGTTAATCTAGACACAAGAATTTAGTTTTTGTTTTTGCACTAATTCTTTATCTGATTTTCCAATAAGCACATTTCGACGCCCTTTATAGTCTATTCCAAGTATTCTTTTGAAAAAAATAAATTCGATTAAAAATTAGTCACAGACAAACAAAAATAGATGCTTTTAAAATACAAAATACATGACCATATTCAGCAAAAACTAAGCTTTTCTTCACACTACAGAACACCCTAACTGCGCTTCCAGCGGCATTTTGGCGTAAACTTTGATTTCGCGAACAGGTCAGAGGTATCATGAGTTGAAAGCAATGAGAAAAATTTAAGAGGTCGATTAAGAAGTTTGCAACTTGGCGTGGAATCCTATATATACTTATTCATTCATTCATCCATCCATTTATTCATTCATTCATCGATCTGTTCATTCATTCATTTATTTATTCATATACTCATTCACGCATTTGCTCATTCACACAGCGTGGACAGGCATTTACAGAACGTAAACAGGCATTTACGCATTTACCCAGCGTAAACACTCATTCACACAATGTGAAGAGGCATTCAGGCAGCGTTAACAGGCATTCACGCATTCACGCATTTATTCGTTTATTCATTTCACTCATCTCACTCATTCATTCATTCATTCATTCATTCATTCATTCATTCACTCATTTATTCATTCATTCATTCATTTATTCATTCATTTCATTCATTCATTCATTTCATTTATTCATTCATTAATGTGCTTGGTAGGAGAACAGACGGTTAAATTCCTAGGTTATCTCTCTCGGCCTTATACCGTTATCGCTTTAGTCGTCGTTTCTTTTCTTCTCACTTGTGCTTCTCTTTCTCCTCAGTGTTCTTATTTTTTGTTTGGCCTCTTCGCTGCTCCCTTTCTTCAGTTTCCAACGTAAAAAAGCATTTAGCTATGTAACCAAAGTTACATGAGAAGTTGAATAGCAGGTATAACTAAAGCTGCTTTCAACGATTCCAAGATGCTGCAGTTTACCAATAAACGGCTACTCATTTCTCTGACAATTATTATCTTTTATTGCTCAGTCGGAAAGCGTGCTAATGATTCTGGATTGAAACGGGTGGTCTACTGAACAAAAGTCACGCCACTATCGGCTTTTATTGCCAGTGCCCCTGAAACTCTTGAGTAATTAAAAGAACTTGACATAAACGCCTTGAATCAAATTTATTAAAAATATTAGTACACCTTCTTTATAAATAACTGTACCGTCAAAAATTTTACCGTGTCTAAAAAATAAAGTGAGAATTTTCCAAACAAAGTCTTTTAATAACCCGTAAAGACGTGATTTTCAAAGCTATTAAGGACTTTTGAGAAGAATATTGTTGGTAAATTTTTTTGTTTTTGAAAACTGCTGTTAAATTTATTGAAAAAATTTAGCGCGCAGTAAAGTAAAGCGCAGAGAGAAAATGTGAGGAATTTCTGAAAAAGAAATTTCCTTTACGTCAATTAAACCTAATTGAAGATGTGCTTGCAAGAGTTTGTTTTCACCTTGGAGATTGTTGATTATAATACTTAAAAATTTTGAATAATTTTGAATTTTCAAAGAAAAAACAATTTATGTTGTAAGGAGGCTCAGGTGGTTGAAAAACTGTTGCAGTGAAATGATAGTTTTTATTCATAAGTCCTACGCGTAATGAATAGTGTGACTGTTATTTCTAACATTTGAAGGAGTACAAGTTGCGTGTCTTATCAGCTACGTGTCTTATCAGCTCGATGATTTTGTATTATTGAGAATACATTTTTGATTGCCGTCGTTTGTTCAACTGTACAAAAGTTTACTTTCAGTCATCGTTAGCCTTCAAATTCTGCTGTCTTCAATATTAACAGTCACATGGCATCAGTCGAAATCCAATGTACAGTATGCTACAAGGATTTCAAGACTGGCGATGCAGGGGCAGATATAGCAGCTCTTCCATGTGGCCATACGTTTCATCGCAAATGCATAAGAGACTGGTTAAGGGCAAGCTTTCCAACTATTCAGCTGAACTACATTCATTTAAATTTTGAACGCCGTTTCACTAGACTTCTGTTTATAGTGACAGTTTAAGCTTTATTTAATTACTGCTTCAAACTTGACCTATTTTACTAAAAAGAATTGTATTATTTACTAGCGAGTTCTAAACTTAGAGGACTTTTCAGGTAGTTTTTTTTAATTGGAAGAATAGTAACTTATTATGTACTTTAAAGTTTAGAGGGGAGTAAACGGAAAGATCTGCCCATACTGCAGAGCCGCTGTTCGCGAAAATGAAATAATTGAGAAGCTTTATTTCATTGGGCGGAAAAATGAAGCGAATGGAGCTCGAGAGGTTAACGTTCAAGTTTTGCACTGTCACTTAATGTGAATTATATTCAGTAAAGGATTCGATGATAGGAAAGAGAAAGTGTTTGAATGCTTTGCTCCTTGTTGCACTACAACAAATTTGTAAATAAGTTTGATAGAAATTTCTTTTTTTAGGATAGTGCACTTATTTAAAACACTTTTCTGCTAGAGCAGGTGACTGTTGAAGTTGAGGGACATAAAAGAGAAGCTTGGAATGTATTGAGAACAATCATAATTAGCGAGTTATAAAGCCACAATTTTAAATGCAAACGCAAAAGCATTTTATTATCTTGCAAATTAAAAAAATTTTTAATTTTATTGTACATATTATTTTTTTGCAAAATTAGTCAATTTCAAACTATTGCACTGAGCATAAAGTAATGCCAAAAGTTATAGTCAACATTTTGTTCAGTAGATCACTTTTTTGAGAAATGCGTTTGAATTAAAGGGGGTGTAAAAGCGTTGGCTTTTTGACCACTTCCAAGAATGTCAAGCTTTATTTGAATAATACCTTTGCTTGAAAACGTCGATAATTCAGATGTTGTGTCTATATATGCAAATTAAAATTTGAAAACTTTATTATTTTACTGCTAATTTTAAGAACGAGTAATTCCACAATTTCGATTAAGCTTACTGTGTCTAAATAAGGTAAACAATCACAGAAGTGATCTATTTTACGAAACTTTGTTTGGAATTGATTAGCATGAGAAGTTATAAAGAGTTGAAAAAATTAGTGTTTGATATGAAAAATTATTAAAATTTCTGAAAAAAAAAGTAGTTATGTTATTGAGGTGGTTATTAGGTAGTTCCCTTGAAGCAGAGTTTCTGAAGTAAAATTAAAGTGCAGTGAGCAAAAGAAGTATCTGTTTTTATGCTTTCAATTATAGAAAAGCGACATAGTCATCAACCACTTTCTATGTCAATTATTGATAACAGACATATTTTTGACGATGTTTGATGAAGTTTTATAGAATATTTGCTGTGGAAAATTTGCAGTTTATTATGCCTGAAATGTCGGAGTCATACTTTTTAATTTGACAAAAAGTTACTTTGCTGAAAAACTTATTCACCACAATTAATTCTATCAGTAATAAAAAATGTTTTTAAGCTTGGCCAAATAAATCAGTCAGAATAATTTCAACTTTTTTTCGAAACCTGCACAATCATTTACTTCCAAGTTTATGACTGATTTTCAAATAGATAAATAAGCTTTTAAAATAAACGAAAAATTTGAAAAATTCTTTAAAAAAAAAATTCCTAGAAAAAAAATTTTTTTTGAAGAATTTTTTAAAGTGAAAGTTGTTTGAAAAAATTCTTTTGTATGATCTATTTCACCTATTCTACGCGAAATATTGTTAGACTTTTACAACTTCTAAACTTTAATAAAAATAATGCTTGTTTTTTGCTAAGCAACCTTTGATCAATTTAAAGGTGGATTTATCTTAAAAATACTGTATTTTTTTGGTTGATGAAGTTTATGTATAGGTTTATTTGAGGATCAATGGTGATGATTTTAGAACAGTTGCGGGGCCTTCGTTGGTTTAGAGCACTACATGTATCTAAGAAAAAAACTTCAAAAAGGCTGCTTTCTTTTAAAGGAAACAACCTTACTGTAACTGCAGCTTGTTGCAGTCAAGGAGGGTGTCTTAGTCATATCAGCCTTCTCTTAAGATTCAATCTGTGACAACCATCGCTTGTTTTCAAAGAATACGATAGATAAGAAAGTTAGAAAACAGGCTGCTGAAAAGGTAAATATGATAGAAAAAGTACTTGATAACAATATCGCCAAACCGGAACTGTAAAGAACATTCAAATATTCGATTTTGACGTCAGGTGCACAGAGGTGGCAACATCTTGAACTGCTTTAGTAAAAACAAGAGTAGAATTTACGTGACAATCAAAAAAGCTGCGGTAAGTGGCACAAAGTATAGTAGTTTTAGTCTTGTCTGATTTCTTAAAAAGAAAATGTAGTAATTGACTCAACAAACAAAAAGTTACCATTTATGTTTCTTTTTAGATGAAAAACGCTAGAGAAGAACTGAATAGGTACGAAGAAATGACACGACTTGCAGGAAATAAAGAAGAAAAATTGAATGCAGAGGTAATCACATCATTCTGTTCCACAAACTAATCTACTTTCAAGTGTATCGTAAGGTGTTAAACGGCTTTTATTCTTGATGATCTGAAATCTCTAAGCAAAAACTTGTTTTTTTTATGCCTTGTTTCGATAGGAAATTATTATATAGTAATTCGATTCTCTAGACCTCAGCATGGCACAAGCGTGTTACTTAAACCGTATTGCCCTTTACTGTTGGTGATAAAACATAAACACATCCATTTTTATGACATTTCTCTTGTATGTTTTATTTTCTTCTGCTAGGGGACTGTAAACACAATGTTTTTCGTGGTGCTTCCCCAGTATTAGGAACAAAAATTTAATCCGATTGAATTGCTTGCTTAATGAGAAAAAGCAACGAATGAAAACTGTAGAATAAAATGTAATTTTTGTTAGCAAACTAGTCGCTCTGCCTAATGTCTAAGCTCCTCTGCGCACCCCCGCGCTTCTCGTTTTCAAAAGACGCTGCTTTGCTCAGCTTTTCAAAAATTTTGAGAATTTAGGTTTTTCCAGTTACATTAAAATAGCTTTTTCGCTTATTTTTTTTGAAACAAAACGCGTTTAACAACTTAGCTAAAAAAAAAGCTACCTTTCATATTTCATTTTAGTTGGAAGGCACTAAAGAAAAGCTTAAGAGGTATGAAGAACTGGTACGACGAGCAGAAAATGAAAAAGCAACTTTGAATAAAATGGTAGTCACAATATTCTGTTCTACAAATTAACCTACTTTTGAGCACCGTCGCGCATATTATTTTATTTAAGTTATACAAGCACAAACTGTTTGTATGATTTAAATTATTGTTCCGCTTATTTTTGCCTTAAGTACTAAGTGATTGCTTTTGAAGCTGAAGCAAAAAGTAAAAGAAACTCTTTTATCTTACATAAAATTAGTTACTGACGGTGACAAAAAATGATATCATTAAACAGAGAAATCGCTGTTCAGTTTTTGCTCTCTCAGATAAACGTTATGAAAATTGATTTACTTGTGAAGGAATCTAGACGAGAACAAGTTGAGAAAGAGTTGGAACAAGTAGATCAGCTTCAAAAAAAGGTAAGTAATTTTATTTTGAGTTTAAAAATTTAAGTAAGTTTACGTTGTCTACAAGGAAATCACAATGTCGTAATTTTTACTTTCTAATAAAGAGGCTAAAGAAGATATTGTTAACTGTTACTGAAAAGGTTATTCATATAACGTTACAAAATAACTCTTCTCAAAGCTCTCATACTTTGATGACTCCATAAATACACTTAAATAGCCAAAAACAGGTCCCTAATACACGCAGGCTGAGACTAGATGCAGTCGAGGAAACATGTAGATCATGTTAACCTTAACTGGAGACTGAGAAGTCCTCTTCCGGCACTAGAACTATGTGGTTTGCAGTTGGAGATTTATAATTGGCAATGAGACATCACGGTTAGGTTGACTTTTTGTAACAATAGAAAGAAAGAGAGATTGCTGAGGAGTATGGAACAGCAGTATAAAATTGTTAGAGTAGTGTAAAGCAGTGACGTCACGTTAGTGATGCAAAAAAATATTTAATAATTGAAGTTTGAGGAAAGGCAGATCGATCTGAAAATAATGTCATGATACAGAGAAAATTCAGTTATTGTAGCACCACGGGGTACACTCATCCGAGTGGTGCAAGACGTAGTAGTGTGTGCTGTGGAACCTCAACTAGTGATTTGTGTTTCGTGTCTGCCTTTGGGAGAAACATTTTTTTGCACTTTTTTTGAACATTTCAAAACACTAGTTTTTTGCATTACTCTCGGAGCTCCAAAATGAAGTCTTGATTGGTGTCCCTCAAATGAAAGACTTTTCAAAAATTGGATTGCTTGCTGATTGACCAGGAGCCGATAAAAACAGTCCAAACTTTTGACTTTTGTACAGAACCACGTGGCGGTAGATGATGCTACGCTATTTGCGACCAAAGGTTGTTCTCAAATATTTTCCTCTACAGAATTCTTTCATATACAATTAAAAAAGCGTCTTCTCCGTCGCATACCATGATTTATGGCCCTCTTGAATTTTTACCATTAAGACTCAGTGGTGTTTTTGCTAGCTTCGGTCTCAGGTTCAGTGAAGTGGAGGTTGTGATCAAAAGTTTTGCGCTGATACCCTTCTAGCATATTTTTTATAATACTGTATGACGCTCGCTGGTCAGAAACTATAGCTGCTTCTGAAACGGTATACTGCCTAATCAGTAGCCAAAGGGTTGCAGCATCTCACCGCACCACTAGAATGGCGAAACACTTATTGGTCTCTTGCTTAATGCTCTCAAAAAGCACTGTTATTCTATTACCCAACTCCTGTTATAATTTCTCTGGTAAAAGGCCTCTTTTCAACCTACACTACCTTGCCAGGGCCTCCTCTCGTTAAAGAGTGTCTCATGAAATGCTTTGTGTAGACATCTCTAAAAAGCCTATATAATCAGCTAAAGTGTGGATGTTGGATTTGCTACCTGTTTCACAGATCCATTCAGCTACGGTGTCTTCATAAGTTAGCCTTTGGTGTTTCGCCCAATATGAAGACGAGCAGAAGACGTCTTTTAAGATTAAGTTAGGTTCCTCGAAAAATGTGCCGCTGTAGAAACTGAGTTTCTTGC